GTCTTGATAAAATAGAATAAGCCAATTCTAGTAGTCTTGGGACCTTTTGCGGTGTTAGTTATGCCCAATATGTTGTTTTACCAAACTAATTAATCAATGGGGCTTGTAATTAACAGAACTCTCTAACATGACTAAAAGATATACCAACACTGGGCCAATATTCACCAAATTATAATTTTAAAGGCTAAATGATTTGGCCTTATCTTCCCTATCCCAAAAAGTCTTAATTGATGAACTTAGGACTTTCATCAGTGATGAAAAACTAACCTCCAAACTTGAGAAACGCGATTGTTAAGATAATCTAAAGGCCTAGTTGGTTCCCGAGCCAATCTAAGAACTTTAACACCTGAAAAACAACCATGAAACAAACCAGGATTGCTTGTAGCCATTCCAAGTGACACAAAACTCTGTATTATATGTTCTCTTTATATCTTCTGTCACTTCACTTTACACTAAAACGAAGACAGAGAGTAAGCTTAGAACAGGAGAGTTTTTTACCTCGAGCTATTGCACAATCTGATCAGGACCGTCTTCTACATCTTCTTTGCTTGCTTCAGGTGGTTCAACTCTGTACCAAACCAAAAGCCTGTTGCAAGACACAAGTCACACAACACCTTTAAGAAGATGAGTTCTCGCATTTGAAGTCAACACAAATATAGAAACCTATGCCAAAGGCTATTGATCGCAAACAAAAATAATAGGCAAACTTAATGCAGACCAAGAAGCTTTACCAGTCATGGCAGTTTGATATATTCATCTGGCAAAACCAATAGCGCAAAATGGACAACTTCACTCCACCGTTTGCTGATGCAAATATGTAATCCGTCTGGTGAATGCTCTGAGAAGAGAAATGTCCATACACTTGCTACTTCTTCATTCCCTCAAAATAGTCGACTTGTGTCATGGACCAACGATTAAACATCCAATACAGAATCCCTCTCAATCACTGAATTTATTTGTTGTCAACATGAAACTTTTATGTTCTTAAGCATAACTCTTTCTGTTCATCGTACAACATGTGATGAGACTAAGTCCCTGATTCTCAATCAAGTAATGCTCCCCAACATGTATGTACTTAACAGAACAAGCAAACACTAATTTGACAAATTAAACTAGGGAGGGTCGAGAGACCTTTATATTGAGCAAATTAAGCACTGAATCATAATCTTCACACCCTATCTGGAGTAAGTTAAGTATTCCATTTGTGGAAAAAAGGCAATACATACACACATAGACAAACAAAAATAAGCAAAAGAACGGAGAGCTGGGATAAATGGATTGCTGAAGAAGAGGCTACAAATATCTAGTGGTTCAGACAAAGTGCCAAAAATAAAACTATGGCAAATAGGAATCAAAACCCAGAGACATTTTTCAACGCACAAGCAAGAAGCATCAAGCCATCAACACCACATACCCGTATTTAAAAGAAAGGCTACACCACTTTGAAGATATATGTATTATAAAAGCTTCCTCAAAACCAAACACTAAAGCTATTGAGCGCAGCCGCAGCCTAAAAAATAGCACGTATATTCACAATGTGCGACCCCCTCAACCACTTAAACAGGCATGTTCGTGCCAAAACTGCCAATTGAACGAGACAGGCATGTGGCAGCTGCAAACATATATGCTTAGCAAAACAAGTGAAGAAGAGTGTTGTTTTGAACACATTAACATATGATTAGCTGATTGTCTCAAGCCAATCCAGGTAATTCAAATCGTTGCCCAAGTTGTCACCATCCTATGAAACTATGTAAAGGTCAAAAGATAACCCTCTTTCTTTCCATCTCAAATATGTACTTGCATATAAATGAAAAAAACATATGGCTCCTCCGACAAATCAAATGGAGCAAACACTTCCTAAAGTGCTCACACTAATTATGAAAAAAAACCTCATTTTGTCACTAGCACACAAATGGCTTGTGGAAGATAAGTTTATGGATAGCTTTATTCAGCAGCCAAAGAAAAATCTAACTGAGAATATATTTTCACACAAACAAATAGAAACCAGTACCTCACAAGTGACAAGTCTTCGACATACTTCTTCAGATCAGCAGTGTACAAGATAGCAATATATTTTGAAATGCATACTTCGTGTTCCTGCTAAAAATATGAGGCAGCGAGACATGGATTGTCTCCAGAAGAGATAGACATGAGAATACAAATACATGAGAAAGACTAAGGAAATTTTGAAGGAAGCTCCTCCCCGTTGGAGAAAGTAGTTATAGAGAGGTATAAAATAAAATCTACCATATACACATGGACCTAAAGGGCGCTACTCAGTCAGAAAACAAGATACAGGCTAAGCAACAGGGAACAAATAAGGGACCAAAACTTGGCGGTGTATTCTTTTAATATGATGTCTCAGAGACCAACAAAAGATTTATTTGGAAAAAATCACTAAGAGCTCAGAAAAAGAAACACAAACTGTATTTGACTATGAAGTTCAAATTTCATTTAGCCAGTAAAAGCTTTGTGCACTGATTGGCATATAATTACAGGAATTGAGGAACGGAACTACTAAACAATTTTAAAAAAAGAACCTATACTGTGAAGAATATGATCCCCAGATACATTTGTCAGGAAAAAATACAATATACAGAATCCTGGCAAAAGTCTGCAGTAGTTTTAGATGCCTCTGGAAGTGGATATATCCGAAAAATTCCTCCATGGAATAACTGTAACTGTTTGATGACAACACTGATAAATGACTCAACTTTAGAATTTGGAAAATAAACCTAGAGGATTAACCTTGTTAATGAGACACTAGCAGCTTCTTTTCCTTCAAGCCGGCCTCCAACAATTTGTGGTAGGTACGTCTGGCCGAGATGGAAGCATCTGGGAAGAAGCACGACCTTAAAAGGATAATTTAAAATGGTAAGGCAACCACAAAATTTGCTGACTGTGTCTTTGAGCGTCTAAACGCAGATGCATTGATAAAGACAGTCTCACCTGGAATTGCAGGGACAGCTTGTAAGTTACTAGCAGCAGAAAGCTGATAGCTCATTGTCCCTGAAGGCGGACGTTCTGGAGGTGGCCGAAAGAAAGCTGTGGAATTGCAAATAAGACCATCAATCTCAAGGAAGCAAGCAATACCACAAACATACATGATGGACAGTCATAATTAATCGTATCACAATACTCATACGCAATCATTTATAACTTAATAAACAGTTAAAGGGTCTATAAGGATTCAAGCATCTACATACTGTCTGTGACTCTAGGAAGGCCTGGATGTGAATTTCTTCCACGCATCCAGGCACCACTTTGATTATCTGCACTATGTCCACTTGAAGGCATACGCCATGGTTCCTCATTTCTATACCGCCGTCCATCATCACGTTGAGGTGGGAAAGAGTACGGAGGATGTGTATAGGAATGCTGCGATTGTGATTGAACATGGCCTGGATATGGAAAATGACTGGGCAGTGGTGAAGGCAGCTTCCTAATCATAGGTCTTTGGGACAGAGGGGTGCTTGGCTGAAACCGCTGGTTCTGTGAAGAAGTTTCCGGATTAAAATGTACATCGCCATTCCCATATTCTAGTTGTCTGGAGGAAGTAAATTGTGAAGGTTCCCTGGTGCTGGAAACTCCTGCTGGAGAAAAACTAGATGATTGCTGAACGAAAAATTCGGTTTTTCCAGCACCCTCAACATGACTTGCATGTGAAGAACTTCTAGCCCCATGGACAATTTGATCACCCTGCACATGATTCCCAGGGAATTTAAACAGAGACGATAAAACAGGGAAATCTATATTTATGAATTATGGGAAACATCAAACAGAATAAATAAAAAAACTTACAATGAAAATGCTACAGTGGTCAGGCTGCATAGATCCTGGGTATGTTTGATGCGATAATGGATATACTGGAGGAGGAAATCCTGGTTGAAGTGGTAACAGATGATGGCTCGCTATGGATGGTTGAGTTGTTAATGATGGTGGTACAGCTATAGGCTGTGCA